CAAGGTGAATACATTAAATGTGTGCAGTTTTTATATATGAATTATACCTTCATAAAGATAAAAAGTAATGCTATGGAGGACAACACTGAAAACAAAGGATTGCAGAGAGGTATAAAGATTCATATGGGTGCTAATTTTCACATGCTACAAAACTGGGAAGTTGTGCGGACAAAGGCTTAAAGAGAATGAAAGGATGAAATGTTCACTTTTCATGTTATATGCCTCGTATCCTTTAAGTTTGGGTTAACATGAGCATGTGCTATTTTTACAGCAACACTTTAAAAAGGAAGATAAGTTTTGCATGGTCAAGCATTTAGGAGAAATTTATGTTCAGACAATCACAATATAATTAGATCGGTGTCACGACGGAAGTAGCACGGGTCACTGTAGAGCTCCAGGTAAGGGCTTTGACCCAGCCAGGGAGTCAGGGAGTGTTTCCAGGAGGAGGAAGCCACTGAGCAGAGCTGTGAAGAATGAGCCGGAGTTCACTCAATAATTAAGCAGAGACAAGAGCTTGAGGTACAAGGAAGAGCCTGTGCTAAGACACAGGTGATTAAGAGAATGTTGGTTTATTCAGAAAGTACCAGATATTCGGCTTAGCTGCAGGGAAAGTGTCTTGTGAGGTTTTTGTTGCTGGAGATGAGTCTGAACAGAGAATCCATTATCAGGGGCTAGATAATGCAGGCTGTTGAATTTTCAGGCTGGGAAATGCAGTCTTTACCCTGGGAACAGGGGGAAGCCATGGAAGGTTCTGTGCAGAGGAAGGATAGAGCTAGGTGATAGATACGACAACATAGTCCTCATGATCCAATCATCTCTTAAAAGTCCCATCTTTCAAAAGTGCCATAGTCTGGTTTCCCACCCTCTTAACACTGTTATAATTGGGATCCAGCTTCAATGAGTTTTTTGGGAAATTCAATCCACAGCACCACCCCTGTGACTGAAGGGTCAAGGGGAGGAGAGAGCTTTAGTGGGGGAATAGGAGGTGCCTAACTGGAATTGATGTCATCAGTATAGAAACACAGTCACTGACAAACCACAACCTTGCAGGGCATATGTACGGGAATAAATTTCCTGGCCTGCTCTCCTCTCATGTTCAGATCTCCTGATGGTGCTTCACATGGGCTGAACACAACCAGATGCTAGAGACAAGAAGTTGTTGGTGTTGCAATCCACAGAGTCAGCCTCCATGGTGTAGAGAAGGTGGAAATGGACAAAGAATAGATAGGAGTGGCCTGTGGAGAACAGTCAATACAGTCTTCTTTTGGTATCCACAGAGAATTGGTTCTGGGACTCCAGCAAATACCAAAATCTGGGAAGTCCAAGGCCGTATATAAAATGTAATATTTACATATAACCTATGTACATGCTTCCCTATAGTTAATTTTATTTATTTTTTCTTTTTAAAAAATGTATTTATTAATTTACTTTTTACATTCTAAGATTTGTTGCAGAGCCGTTGAGAGATGTCGGGGCCATGACTGAGGCCATCAGCCACCCAGTGCTCTGGCTCAGGAGCCTGGGGTGCTTCCTGTGGCAGCTTGGTGGTCATCACTGGGCTGGTTGCAGATGTCAGGGGGGCATGGCTGAGGTCCTCGGCCCTCTGCCACCCCAGCTCGGGAGCCTGGGGTGCTTCCTGCTGCTGCTCAGTGATCCTCGCTGGGGTGGTTGCAAGTGTTGGGGGTGTGTGGCTGAGGCCGAAGCCCCCACCCTTAGGACTGGTTGCAGCTGTTGGGGGAGGTGGCTGAGTCCCCTGGCCCTCCTCCCTTTTTGGCTTGGTAGCCCAGGGGATGTCTGGTCCTTCTAGGTGTTATAGGTGTTCTTTGGTGAAATGTGACCTTTACTAGTTAATATCAAACTTTGCCTTGGTTGTGGGTATTTTTTTTTTCTTTCAGTTCTGTGTTGGATTATTTACTGTTACCACCACTTAAACTCTGCCCTGGAACTAATTTGATGTTCTTTGCTTACTTCTAAAATGAGGGAACTTTCTGTGGGGACCAGTACTTGAGCTCTGTGGTTGAGCTAAATTGCTGCTTTGCTGCTGATTCCCTTTGGAAGGCTTTTTGTGCAGCTCAGGTTTTAGTGGTTGACTTTATAGGTACTTCCAGGTCTAGTTAGATCTGGTGCACCTGGGTTGTGTAGAGACTCTGGTCTGGGCCTGAGTCTTTTCATCAAACTGCACCCCGTGCAATCCCATATTCTGACCAGTCTCCACTGAGTGGTCCTGTGTTGATTTGGGGGCAGATCAGCTGTCCACGTTGTGCCCCAGAGTTCCCCTGGTGGGCCTGTCTCCCCTACTGCCCATGCTCCAAACACTTCCCAGGGGATGGGCCATGCACTGGTCCCTTGCAATGACTCACCCGCCTCTGAGTGGCTCCTTTTTTTCTGTTGTTCTGGCTCCTTACTCCTGTGTGAGTCCATGGGAACCCTATTAGTGGTCGTGCTGGTCTGGGGGCCAACAAGGCCCTCTTCTCCCCTGCTGCTTCCAAGCAAAATCATCTGAAGGGCACAGCTGCAGCTTTTGCCAGCTCCTGCTCAGTGCGCTCAGCGGCTCCAGCCTGAAAAAGGCAGGAGCATTTTTTTCTTTCTCTCATTGTGGCTTCTCCTGCCTTCATACACTCCATAGGTCTCTCCTCCTCTTCCCCTGAGCTCTAGCCACTTGGAATTTCTTTTCAGTAATTTCAAAGGAACCATCATAGTTATGTGTTGGGGTGTGTGTGTGCATATGTGTGCTTGTGTATGTGTTCATGTATTCAAATGTACATGAATGTGTGCATGAGTGTATATGCTTGTGCATGTTTTCCACGTGTACGTTTGTGTATGTGTGTGCAGCAGATCATGATGCAACTCAGATCAGCAATAGAAATAAAGTGTCTTCATTTTGTCTGTCATTGATCTGATCTTCCTCATAAGCTCCTTCTACTGTATTACAGGGACACAGAAACATTAGTGTATGACAAAAGGTTATGGAAAGATAGAATTAAAAATACAATCTTTCTATGAGGACTTTTGAATACCACACACACACACACACACACACACACACACACACACACACACACGTTTCCTAGAGTTTAAAACTCACCCCTTTCCTATCATCTTAAATACTCTCTGTAGGTCTAATTCCCTCTTTCAGGTTTTCCTCTGCCCTGAGCTCTTTCCAGGGTGGTATCCAGGATGGAGGGAGCAGGTGGCCAAGGGGACTGTTTGGAAATGGACATCTCTGCATCCTCCTGCTGATCCTTGGGTGTGAGCTGACTGAGCCATGTGGGGTTTGCTCACGAGGTTGCTGGAGGTCTCTGCTGATATGACCTATGGTCCGGGGTTCTTCCTCTCCCTGCCCCGTCAGGGCCTGGGGACCCTTCTTGTCGAGTCAATGTCCACTTAGTCTCAGGGATTCAGTGAGCATCTCTGTGTATCTGCTCCTGCCCCATCTGGTACAGGTGCGATCTCTCCTCCCTTCTAAGAGAGTTCCCTGGTGTTCACCTCCCCGGACACACCTCAGAGTAGTTGGGGGTGGGGTCATAAGTACCGTTTAGATCTTCCCTCTCTGCATGGCCACTCTGTACTGCCAGGTGGGCTGTGCGTGGCTCATGCTCTGCAGGGCATGGAACAAGAAAGACGTCCTCTCCACAAAGGAATGTCCTTAACCCCACTGTCCTGAGTCTTGGGTATGGAGTTGGGCAGGTTAGAGGGCCAAGAAGAAAAGATTAGTCTCTCTGTCTGCTTTTTTTTTTTTTTTTTTTTGTCCTCTCTTGGAGCCTATCCTCTTCCTACCAACCCTCCAAGAAATAAAAGTTTGGTATTTTCATTTAATTTCCCCTAAACTGCATTGTCCTGTTTTTCACTGTGGCCTTGCTGCCTCGACTTACTGAACTTTCTTTCTTATGCTGGAGCAGACACTGAGACCTGGTCAGCCATCCTGTGCTCCGGAGCGGGTAGAAAAATCCACAAGTCCTCCCTCTACTAATGCTGGGCTGTTCACCCTTTGCTAAAGAGCCCAGAGTCAGACAATGATTTGCTGGAGTCCAGAGTCAGAAAATGATTTCCATGATTTTGTGGAAAAACACACTGGGTTTTTGAGTTGGAAAAATTGCCAGAGAGAGAGAGTGAGACAAAGACAAAGAGATAGACAAGTAGAAATATAAACAGAGATAGAGACACACAGAAACAGAGACAGAAAGAATGTGTCCCATGTGAAAAACAGAGAAATTTTGTTATAATGTAACAGAAGAAAACAAAGATAAAGAGTATAGCATCAGAAGCAAATCCCTAGAGGAAATTAAACTTGAAATAGAAAATTTAAACGCAGTACAAATTAAAATTGGGTAGGATGGCTGGACACCCACCCACTTTGAGCCAGTGAGCTGCAGCCTGTCCCTGGGTTCAGAATATGGAGTCAGGGGCACCCATGAGGGTCTGCAGCACCCACCCCTCACAGCCGGCTGACCTTAGGCAAGTTATTCCATGGCTCAGTCCCTAGTTTCTTTAAGAAAAATGGAGACAATAAAAGGGCATGCTGTGGAGGACTTGTACAAGGATAGAATATGTTAATGTTTCCATAGAACTAAAATAGCAATTGTCCCACAGTAAGATCTGGCTGAGTTTGTATTGATTTTTTAAAAATATTTTTTCATACATAATAACAATTTTGGAAAACACCAGTCCTATAACAGGAATGCAGGTTTCTTTTCTGTTTTTGTTTTTAATTTGCTTTTATTGGTATTCTTTTTTTATTGACAAATAATAATGTATATATTTATGGGGTACAATGTGACTACATTACACAATGTATATACTAGTATATATACATAAATGTCAAATCATTACTTTGTACACCTTGAATATACCTAATTTTTTTTTTCTAAAAGATGACCGGTAAGGGGATCTTAACCCTTGACTTGGTGTTGTCAGAACCACACTCAGCCAGTGAGCTAACCGGCCATCCCTATATGGGATCCGAACCCGTGGCCTTGGTGTTATCAGCACCACACTCTCCCGAGTGAGCCACGGGCTGGCCCGATATACCTAATTTTGATCAATTTTTTAAAAGACAAAAGAAAACACTGACACCTCCTGTGTTGCTCCTGTCTTCTCTACTCAGTTTTCAACAACTATGAAGCAGAGACTGAGTCCAAGTGACCTGTGCATCCCAACCTGGCACAGACCTGTCAGATATTAGGCTTTTAAAAATATTTATTGATGAGCAAAATAAAGCTTGATCCAAAGCACTGAACTCAGCTCTCAGCTGAACAAGAATAGCCCAGTCTCAAGGTCAATAATTAAATTCTGAAGGTCTTTAGATTTAACTGAGCAGATAATTAAAATGGAGTCTGAGTCAGCTGGGGATTTACAGAAGATATCTAATACCAGCTGAGAAACTATAACACTCTACATAAAATCACCTGGGCTGTTGAAGCTGGGTCTCTGGAAACAGCCACGTAACTATAGCTGGGCCTCTTGAAACAGCCAGGTAGACTGTAGCTGGGTCTTTGGAAACAGCCAGGTGACTGTTTCTAGGTCTCTAGAAACAGCCAGTTGACTACAGCTCGGTCTCTGGAAATAGTCAGAGAACTGTAGCTTGGTCTCTGCAAATAGCCAGATACCTGTAGCTCTGTCTCTGGAAACAGCCAGCTGACTGTAGCTCATTCTCTGGAAACAGCTGTCTGTAGCTGGGTCTCTAAAAACAGTGAGGTGACTGTAACTGGGTCTCTGGTAGCAGTTGCAACAAAGCCTCTACAAGAAGCTGGTAAACTGTTAAAGAGACAACCTGGTTAATAAATTTTTGAGATGTTGATTAGACAACTCCAGCGTCCAGCTCTTGTCTCCAGGATTGCTGATTGACTGTTTTTTTCAGAACAGGATGATTCCAAAGGGAAGTGCTCCAAATGGCTGCTTCAGACTTTTCCTAGAGTGACTTCCTTTGTCTTCAGATGCAGGAACCAGGTGGGCCTGAGGTCAGTGTCTGGAGAGGGCTGCATAGGTGCTGGACACAGCCGTGGACTCCATGAACTGTGGGGACACAGCATGGGCTGTCCTCTGTGTGAGGGCCTGGAGGTCCAGCTGAACATATGTCACCTCCTGGAGGTCCCCTGCAGCAGGGGTCTGAGGGAGAGACACTCAGGGTGAGTTAGCACCTGATGAAGGTGAGGGTGGGGGGTGCTATCTAGGGATGGAGGACTATGGTAGCTACCTCCAAGTGGTCCCCCCAATGATCCCCACCTCCTGAAATCACATCATCATGTAGTCACCTCCCACATGGCCTCAGGGTTGGTCTGTGTGACCAATAAAACTTGGCAGAAGGGATGGCATGTCACTTCCAAGGTGAGGCCACAAAAGACATTGTGGCTTCTGCCCTTCCCTCTCGCAATCCCTCCGTCTGGAAAAAGCTAGCTGCTGTGGGAAGGCCCAGGTGGTGAAGACCCGAGACCTCTGGCCAATGGCCGTTGAAAGGAAGCCATCCTGGGAGCGGATCTTCCAGCCCCAGTCAGGCCTTCAGATGAATGAAGCCCTGGTCGACATCTTGACTGAAACGTGGGAAGGCCCAGGTGGTGAAGACCCGAGACCTCTGGCCAATGGCCATGAAAGGAAGCCATCCTGGGAGCGAATCTTCCAGCCCCAGTCAGGCCTTCAGATGAATGAAGCCCTGGTCGACATCTTGACTGAAACCTCAGGAGAAACTTTGATCCAGAGCCACTCAGCTAAGCCACTCCTGAATCCCTGACCAAGGAAACTGAGATCATTTTGTTAAGCTGCTAAACTTGGAGTACTTTGGTATGCAGCAATAGACAACCAATAAAAAGACGTACTGAGGTGTCCATCTCTCTGTCCTTCTCAGGGAGTCTGTCAACTGTGGCTGTGCCTGCACGGGAGAAGACATGTGGTCAGTTCTCTATGGTGGATATCAGAAGAGAAATTTGCCTAAATCTTTACAGCTTCAGATCTCATTCTGAACTCCATCTAGAACCTCCTAGAATGTTGTCAAATATTATCTTTCCCCTACTGCTCCCTAACTGGGACTGAGCTCCCCTTCCCCTCTCTGGTCCTGTTCCTCCTCCTCATCCCTTACCTGGTGTCCTCATCCCTTACCTGGTGTCCTCTCTCGGACATCAGCGGCTGGGCTGAGCCTAAGAAAAAACAACAAATAAGCACTAGGGGCGCCCTGGAGGCAGACGACTGGGCAGGGGCCTGGGAGTTATTTCCTGGGGCCTCACCTCTCTTGTGGCCTCTGTTCCTCAGCCTTGCTGCTGCAGGGCCCTGAGGACAATCTGAATCAAGGAGGAAGGCCTCTTTCCCAGCACCCCCAACAGCTTCCCCAGGCCACCCCACCCTTTCTCTGTGTCCTACCCTGTTTTTTCTGATGCTGGAGATGGAGGAAGAAGAGGACTACAAGGAGACAAAGGAGGAAGGCCACCAAGATCCCGATAAGAATATAAAGAAGCTCTGTCCTCAGGCCTCGAGGAGCAGGTGTGACTAGGGAAGATGGAATCAGGTTATCAGCAGCACACATTTACTGAGCTCCTACTATGTACCATGCACATGCTGGGTGCTTTTCATCAACATACTTTTAAGGTAAAATCTCTCACATGCATAATAGTCCTGCAACGTGGGAATCATTATCCCCATCTTACACAGTCGGGATCCCGAGTGGTGAAGTCCTCTGTTCACAGGAACACAGCTAGTCATAGGCAGAGCTGGAATCTGACGCACACCCAAGCCCCATCTGTTCCCCTTCCCCAAGAGGCACATACCTCTACCCCACCACTCACCACCATTGTTACTGTCGTCCGAAGGCATCTGTGTGGCTCCTGGGAAGGTAAAATCAGGAGGAGATGAGGTCAGAGGTCGGAGCTGGGCAAAGAAGGCTCAGAGCCCTCCCGGTCTCTACCACCCAGGTCTCCCTTCACTGCCTACGACCCTGACCCACTCCTTCCAGACCAGCACTGCCCGGTGGAACTTTCTGTGATGATGAAAATGTTCTACTTCTGTGCTGTCCAACATGGTAGTCACATGTGGCTACTGACTTATTTAAATTTAACTAAAGTTACACGAAGTGAAAAGGCAAAACCTCAGCCCACTTGCCACATTTCAAGGACTCAATGGCCACACATGGCTAATGACATCTGTGCTGGGTGGCGCAGGAATCTGTGATTCACAGCTCTGTTCTCTAAGCTCTTACAGAGATCAACAACTCAAAGGAACGTGGAGTGGGACCTCCCGTCGCTGACCTCCTTCTGGATTCCCACCCAAGTGAAGGAATCCCCATCTCTGATTTCATCTGTTCCTCATAGCAGCCCCTGGATGGAGGTGGAAACCACCCTTTTGTGGTGTGGGGGTGGGGGTGGGGGGCCGAGTCCGAATGTGCATGTGCTGCCACAAGCCCTGCAGTTAGCGGGCGAGTGTATCAAGCACCAGCCACGTTCCTGGCCCATTATGCAGCATGTCCGCCACGTCCTTTAACTTTCACCCTCGTTTGTGTGTGGCATTGCCCCGCTTCACAGGTAACCAAATGAGGCCCTGCAGGATTCGTCCAAGCACAGGCTCCCAGCCCTCGCACCCCCTCTTCCTGGACCAGTGCCAGGTGACATTTTCAACATCCTTTAAGAAAATCAGAAAACTTCGCCCCCTCGGAGCGTCCTTCCCTCACCATCTTGTCCATGGTACAAGATCCAAGATCTAAGATCCAGCCAGCTATTCTATACCATCGCTGCCTGTGCTTTCTTTTGATAACACTCGTTGCAATTTAAGATCATATATGCACTATATACAAGTAAATAGTATATTATGTTATTTATAGTTATAACATATTAACTATAATTATATATAGCAAATATAAATATATTTAATGTTATGCAATTTTAACTTATATATATTTAATTTAATTTATATACACAAATTTTAATTGTATAATTTAAAATTACTCATACTTATAATTATATATAAAATATTCATGAGAATATATAAATTACATATAATTTGTATATAATACATGGTATGTATCTCTACTTATATATTAATTATAGTAACATATATTTACTATAATCTATAGTAAATATTAAAATATGCATAACATTATATAATATATAATATGTAATGGTATATTAATATAATTTATTATATGCATATATTACTTATGTATTTAAGATATAGAGTAAACATAATTTAATAACAAATTTTACATAGTAAATGATATATTTATATTTGTATGTGCATATATAGACGTATATGCATTTCTGTTGCTCATTCTAACTATTTCTCTGCATTAAAGGTCAGGGCCAGTCCTCCTTCACCACGTGCATCAAGCCTGCCCCATCTTGGCACCTGGAGCATTTGAGGTAAGAAGAGAATATTTTCTCAATATTAACATGAGCAGTACTTCCGGTTTTCTCAATTGGCAGGCACTGATTTCAGCAGTGTGTGTAAATGGATTCGTGTATTCCCTAAACAACTCTACTAGGTAGGTACTTTTATTGCCATTTTGCACATGAGGAAACTGGGACATAAATGGTTGGGGTAAGTTACCTGCAGGTGCAGAACTGGAATTTGAATCTGAACTCAGCAGTCTAGCTGCAGGATCTTTGCCCTTAATCTTTAAACTTTACCACATAAAAAATCAGGAGAGAGAGGGAAAGAGAGCGAGAGCAAGAGAGAGATTGACTGATTTGCCTCCAAACAGGTGGCTAATAAAAATCAGAGACTGGATTTGAACCCAGGTCTTCCTGATTCAGCAGCACATCACACTGTGCCCCCCAGTAGGCTCAGGACCCTCTGAGAGAGGGTCTCTGTGGAGCAAAGTGCTGCTCCTCTTCCATCTGCTCCTTTGTGGCTTGACCTCATGGGATCAGCAAAGGGCCACTTCTCTGAGACCCTGAGAGGACATGGAGGTGGGTCAGAGACTCTTCACTGAACACTGACTCCAGAATGTCTCGGGTTGACCACACACAGGGGCAGAAACAGTCTCAACCCAAAGGTTTCCCCAAGTACCATCCAGTCCTATAGCTGAGTGTTCAGGTCATCCATGGTGTCCAGATGACACCAGGGTTACAGGGACTTATGCAGGTGTGAGGGCAGAGGGGACATGTGTGCAGAGGGAGAGGAGGGCAGGGGAGGCTGCAGACAGAGAACAACAGCTGGGAACGGGGTCCAGGGACCTTGGGACAGACGTGAGAACAGAGCTGAGTCTGGGGTGTGGGGGACCCAGGTTATGTCCTCACTCGTCATCATGAGCTCCAGGAATGCACTGAAATCAGACCATTTTTGATTCCTTGTAAAATAGCGGCAGAAATAACGCCCAGCAGTGTCTTCGCTCATTGAGGTGATGAAGAATCTGGCCTCTTTATTAGACGTTAAATTATTCTTCTCATCTCTGAACACAGAGCTTTCCACCTTCTCCAGGCGAAATATCTCAAATCCCACAGTGCTCTGGCACACAATGGTCACAGGCCTCCCGTGGGGGATCACAGAGTTTGGCTCAGCCCGGATGGAGGGTTTGGGCAGGGCCCCTAAAAGGAAAGTGGAAAAGGGATCTCAGCGTTCACTTGGAGGACATCACCATGCCATACTATTCATTTTAGGTGCACATTCAAAGCCATTAGCAGATTTACAGAGTTGTGCAACCATTATCGCAATCCAACCTGAGAACACTTCCACCTCTCCTGGTACCCATTCTACATGCATTGAATTCTCATCACTGCAGAGTTCTTTTTCCCTCTTGACAACAAGGACCCCAAGACTTGACCACATTCTGGGCCTTGCTCAGGATCACCTGGGAAGTGTCAGGGCTACCTGGGGTCCTTCAAGTCTGCTGCAGAGCCCAGCTCTTTCCCTGCCCATGTCACTCTCCAGGGGGAGAGAGGGGAGAGAGGCAAATGATGGGGACAATCAGGTCATTCTTGGAGGACAGGGAAGCGAGGTGTCTGCAGTCAGTTGGAATGACTCAGCTGGGGCTGAAGGGCAGCTGGCCAGTCCTTGGGTGGGATTGTGTGGGAGGCTGAGGCAGGTTTCTGCACAGTTTTTGTGGGAGTCTTTTGAGGGTGAGGGTGAAGTGCACAGCACGGATCTGCTCACAGCAGATGCCCAGCCGATGACCATTCCGTTTCTAATTCAAGTTCTCTGTTGAGCAACCACCTCTGGATTTTTCTCTATATTTCTACCCTATTCTCATTTCCTTGTTATTAAGGCTCTTGAAAAAAACCCATCTGTCTCAACTGGGATTGGGGTGGGGGAGGATGGGTGGGTTTGAATCCCTAACACAGGAAAGTTGTATCAAAGTTAGCAAAATCCTTGATAAAAGCAGGAGCTGGCAGAGGCTCAGTTCACTCATTCATTTCTCATTTATTCTTTTCTTTTTAATTGACAAATAAAAATTGTATATATTTATGGTGTTCAACATGATGTTTTAATATAGTATACATAGTGGAATGGCTAAATTAATCCAATTAACATATGTATTACCTCCATAATTACTTTTTTTGGAGTGAAAACATTTAAGATCTTCTCTTAGCAATTTTCATGCATATGATATGTTGTTATTTACTATAGTCACCATGTTGCAGAATAGATCTGTACTTATTTTTCATAACTGAAATTTTGTATCCTTTGACCAATATTTCCCCAATCTCCCTGCATTTGTTCATTCATTTTGTTTCAACCATATTTTGTTCCTTATCTATCCATTTAGAGGTGTCTTCCAGGTGCCACAAGTTTTACAAATATTAGAAACACACGCAGGATCCCTGTCCTTTTCAGCTGAAAATCTAGGAGGCAGGACAGATGTTGATCAATTAACTGTCCAAATCTGCAGCTACAAACCATAAGTGTCTTTCGTATGCATGCAGAAATCTAGGGAGACAGACAGGAGGCAGAGTTGACCTCTTCGGGGAAGTCAAGGGGAAGAGGTTCTGAGCTGAACCAGAGGGACAAGTGTAAGTTACTGAGCTGAGCAGACGCGGGATGCCTGGGCATTGAAAGTGGGAAAATCAGTGAGTCAACGTTGGTCAAAGGATCCAAAATTTCAGTTAGACAGAAGGACTAAGTTCAAGATATCTCCTGTACAACACAGTAACTACAGTTAATAACAATGTATTGTACTCTTGAAAATTGCTAAGAGAGTAGATTTTAAGTTTTCTTACTACAAAAAAGTATCATTATCTGAGGTAATGCATATGTTAACTAGCTTGATTTAGCCATTGCACAATATATACGTATTTCAAAATATCATGGTGTACATGATAAATATATATAATTTTATTTGTCAATTTTAAAAATTATTAATTTAAAAAGATCTGCATTTGAGAGGTCCAGAGTTAAGTGGGAACATGGCATGTTTGAGAAAGTGAAAAAAGTCAATGTATTTAGAGATAAGTGAGCTAGACTATGTAGAGACAGGATATAGCTGGGGAAGTAGATAAATCCAGACCAAAGAGACATGCACGGGTTTGATTCTTGATGAAGATAAACTGTGGGAGGACTCTAAGAAAGGATAATATTTTGCTTGAAAATTAAAATAAGTAATTAAATTTTTGAATAAAATTTTTTTCTTTCTTTTTTATTTATTTATTTATTTATTTATTTATTTATTTATTTATTTATTTATTTTTGTCCTTTTTTGAAACCGGCTGCACCGTGCTCAGCCAGTGAGTGCTGTGAGCGCACCGGCCATCCCTATATAGGATCCGAACCCGCGGCGGGAGCGCTGCTGTGCTCCCAGAGCCGTACTCCCCCGAGTGCACCACGGGCTCGGCCCTGAATAAAATTTTTAAATGGTAGACAGTAAAATGACCATATTTGTGCTTTACAATGCAAATAGTGACCTCTCTGGTGCCAAGAAGAGCATGGGCAACTGTGCAACAGCAGGGATAGTGAGGCTCCAGGAGGCATCAGCAGCCCTGGAAGTGAGAAGTGGAATAGCTTGGAGGGGAGGTGGGAGAAGTGTGTAAAGAGAGAAGGAAAGACTTAAGAAAAATTTAGGGGGGAAATCAACAGGATGGAATGACATATTGTACTTATGAGGATGGAGAAGATGGAATCGAGGATGAATTCTCAGGTTCTGCCCTTTGTGACTGTCATATTCTCTCCCAAGGGGATGCTGAGGGAGGTCTGGGCTTTATGGGGAAAACTCATGAGCTCAGCCTCGGTCATTTGATTTGGATTGTCTTGTTGTCTGTACGCCTAGGTTTATTTCAGCATTATGTAGGGTGGCCAAGACAGGCAATCAACCTTAGTGTTTGTCTATGGATGAATGGATTTTAAAATGTGGTATATATACACAATGGGATACTATTCAGCCTTTAAAAATAAGAAAATCCTGTCATTTGTGACAACATGAATGAAACTGGAGGACATTGTGATAAATGAAATAAGCCAGGCACAGAAGGACAAATATCACATGTTCTCATTTATATGTGGATCTAAAAAATTTGAACTCACTGAAGTGGAAAGTGCGATGGTAGTTACCAGGGGCTGGGGAGGGTATGGGGAGACACCGGGCAAGGATACAAGCTTCAGTTAAATAGGAAGAATTAGTTTTTTTTTTTTTTTTGTCTTTTGTCTTTTTCCCATGTCCGGCAACGGATCGCAACCCTCAGTGTTGCCCCCGTACCGGACCGGGGACCGGCAACGGGATCGCAAGCCTCGGCGTTGCTCCTGCGCCTCACTCAGCCAGTGAGCGGGAGCCGGTCTGTATGTGGGATCCGAACCCTCGGGCGGGAGCGCCGCCGTGCTTCCCAAGTGGCGCACTATCCAGTGCGCCACCGGGCCGGCCCGGAAGAATTAGTTTTTGAGATCTATGACTGACTGATCTAGGCTGACTATTGTTAATAATGTATATTTCAAAATTGCTAAGAGAGTAGACTTTTAATGTTCTCACCACAAAAAAGATAAGTTTTTGAGGTGATGAGTATATTAATTAGCCTGATTTAATTATTCCACAGTGTCAACATGTATCAAAGCATCACATTGTACCTCATAAATATATACACTTATTATTTGTCAACTAAAAATAAAATTAGAAAAAAAAAGAAGCCAGGTGGAGAATGGAGTAGAGAACTAGGTGACGGCTATCTATTTGGGGATGTTTGCAATTCAGGGTATATTTAAGGATCTTCCTCCAGGTCCCCCAGGATCAACATCACTCCCATCCAGAGCTTCCCTTGAAGTGCACAGAGGATTGAGAAGACATGACTCACCCTCCTGTGTGTGGATCATCTGGCCCAGACTGAGCACTGAAAGAGAAACCCCAGTGAGAAGCATGCCCACCACTTGGTTTTCTGATAGAGCTGCTATGGAATGGGGAAAGGGGTTAATGAAGACAGGAGGCATTCAGCCTCCCGTAATTACCAAGCCATCCCTCCTTGACATTAGTATCTGAGTATAATTCTTTTTCTTGCTCTGAAATAGTTGCAAGACAAATCCCCAAGTCTCCTTTTCCAAATAGGTTCTCCATTCCCCAGCCCTTCTAAGAACTGAACTCCCCCCCCATACCCACATCACTGTTTATAGGACTGTGTCTTCCATGTTCAGACTTAGGCCAGGGGTGAGAGCTGAGGTGCACCCTGTAGGGAGGGGCACCTTCCTCCCCCAGGATCCCCGAATTTCCTGGACTGGAGTCAGGCCTGAGAGAGAACTTGACTCCTTCTCCAAGTCTCCCACCCCCTCTGTCCCTTGAATCCTCCCCCTCCTTCCAGGACTCACCAAGGCCCAGCAGGGTGGTGAGATGTAGAGACATGGCTCGAGCCCAAGCAGTCTACCCTGGCCTGGAGCCGACAAGTAGAAGAACAGAACCCTGCAACAGACACAGGAACAGGATGTGTTGGCCAGGAGCCCATGTCATGGGATTTCCAAATGCCTCACACAAAAAGGAAGAGCTTTCTCTCCTGCTCATTCTGCTCTTCCTGCCAATGAGACAGAGGGCCTTGGATCCTTAAAGATGTTTCTTACCTATAGTCTCAGATGATGCTGAACTCATCTTCTCATGTGTTAACCTCATTCTAAATCTATGGGACAAGGCAGAAGAAAGACTGTGCCACAAACTGATTTGGATGTAAGTCCCAACTCAACAAAGTAATGATCATCTGCTTTTGTGCAAGGTATTGCAACTCTTGAAGCCGATGTGTCCTCATAGAAACCATAAAACCCTCCTTCGAATACTTAATGTTATAATTTTTGTTAAAATCCCAAGATATTTAACACATTAAAAATATCCTGCTATGGATATTACTTAAAGAGTATAAAGAAAAAAAATCAGGATTTATAATAATAATATGCTTATAATAAATAATATTAAATAAATAAATAAAATGATTTTTAATTTAATTTATTTTGGTAAAATAAAAGATAGCATAAAATTTTTTTAAAAAGAAATACAAGTTGATGATTAGAAAAAGAAATACCACGTTTTCACTTATTGGAGGGAGCTAAAGGTGAATGAATCAATTCACACATACTGCCATTTGCAACAACATGGATGGACCTTGAAAGGATAATATTAAGTGAAACGAGTCAGGCAGAGAAAAAGAAATACCACGTTTTCACTTATTGGAGGGAGCTAAAGGTGAATGAATCAATTCACACACACACACACACACACACACAAAAACCGGGGAGGGGGGGGAGAGGAAGATATAACAACCACAATTATTTTTTTTTTTTGAAGCTCTTACAACAAGCAAATGGAGGGGACACACTTGGGTGGGAGGGGGGAGAGGGAGGAGGGAGGGAGGTTTCGGTGATGGGACATAATAATCAACTACATTGTATATTGACAAAATAAAAATAATAAAAAAAAAGAAAAGAGTGTTATTGTGTTGCAGTCATGCCTGTTCACTTAGGTGCCGCCTATAGCTGCTTTCCCACAATAGCAGAGAAAGCCAGGTACGGGAAGAGCTGGCCCACACTGGTCCATATATTCACCAACCAGACTTAAACATTTTCAACATTTTGTAGTTCAGGCAGCAGAAATTTATGCTTGAAGTCCCCTTTATGCCCCTCCACAACCTTTTCCTCTCCACCTGTTTGCTGAATTAACCACTCACCTGAGTTGAGTGCACAGTGATTTGTTCTTTTACTATGCACGCATTTGTACATAAACAATGTCCAGTATTGTTTGTGTGCTTAACATTTTACGGGAGTGGAATAGTAGCTCGTTCACTTTGACGGCTGCATAGTGCTCACGACTTGCACATCCATTCCCGCTCTGGCAGATATTTAGATCGTTTCCTGTTTTTCGCTGTTGTAGACACGGCTGCCATGCACGTGACGTCCTCGTCTCTGAGAGTTTACGAGGTGGAGTGCAGCCATGGGAGCAACTGGGAAAGAAATGGCTGCTTGTGAGGTTTGTGCCTCTTTGCTAGATATTGGCACACGAGCACAGCTAACGCGTGCTGGGGCCTCTTTACGTGTTGCACATGCCATTTCGTTAATCCTCTCCACAGCCCTATGATGTGTACACTATTATCTCTTGCACGGTAATTTAAAATGATACAGTAGCTATGGAAAACAGTATGGAGCTATATCCTCTTAACAAATTTTATGTGTAAAATACATTGTTGTTGACTGTAGGTACTATGTTGTACTGCAGATCTCTAGAGCCTATTCATTATATTTAACTGTCAATATGTCAGATTAAGTCCATGGAACAGCACTTTATCTTTAAAAATAATAGTAAATCAACACAAATTGCTTAATATAATATTTAAAGATCTTAAATCCATCAAAAAAAAAATACTTAGTGAAGGCTATGCAGTAAAGAATTGAAGAAAAATGAGATCCCCAGAGTCAAGCTGAACACTGAACCTGGCTCTCTCTTTGACAGTATTGAACTGAGCTTTATCTTCATGGCATTGCAGATTGTAGAGGCCAGAGGATAAAGTCCAGGGGTCACCCCAGTTAAGGAGTCTAGGGAGATCACCCCTCTGTTTAGCCAGTTTCTAAAAGCTTCCACTACATCAAAAGAGTACATTCAGATTACTGACCAACTTCTTAGGGCTACAAGTATTACATTTGTTTGAAACTTAACATTCAACAGGAGGCAAAAAAACGTTGCTCCTGAAAATGACTGTTCTGCTTCTCAACTCTTCTTTCACTTAGATACTGGCTTCTATGCATTAGATTCTTCCCCCCTGCCTCTCTTTTATTAGGTCTTTATCAGCAATTTTTAATCAGCTTTATCAAGGAATAATTTAAAAACAATAAACTGCATCCATTTAATACATGCAATTCAGCGAATACTGACAGTTGTGAAAGCACCACAATACACAAAATTATCATCAACACCAAAAGATTTCGCGTGCTCTATTACCCTCAGGTGACCACTTAACTTTTTGTAAAAATATTTATTTGTTTACTAACTTATTTTTTAGGAGAACTTCTTACCTAGGAATTTTAGATTTGCAGAAACGTTGCAATAAAATTTGCAGGAAAAATGCAGTGAGTTCCCATATTCCCTTCATCCAGTGTCCTCTAATGGTAACATTTTAGATAAACTCAGTACATCTGTCAAAACTAAGAAATTAACATTGGTACAATAATTATTTGGCTTTATTTGGATTTCAGCAGTTTTTCTTCTGTTCTTTCCCTGTGCCAGGATTTAATTCAGGGTACCATACTGCATTTAGTTCTCTCTCTCTTAACTATATAGGGGGAGTTTCTGTTTTCCTGGTTGGATCTTGATTAACACTCTTATTATACCTGAATACCATATGCCCAGGGAAGATAAGGGGGTGAGAAGTGTGCTGACTAGTTAGAATAGGAATGGCTGAGAAAATCTACATCTACAGGATCCTTCACACACTAAACTCATATGGCCCATAGGGCAGTTACTCTGAGTTTTTTCTTAAGGAAGTAATGTGGAGCTGTCATCACTCAATGTTCTCAGAAAGTCCATTCTTCTAAGACTTTGATCCCCAACTGAAGAAGATCTATGTCCAAGGCTTGCTACAGGGTAAGCATAGCACATCTTCTCCAAATGAAAACCTTACCTGGAGTGTTGCACAAGCATTGAATAATGATTCTCTTAACACATTCAGATACATACACAATATTTGCAAATTAAATACCAATTGAATGTCAAGTGTAAGCAAGATGTACATAAAATAATATGAGATGCAACATGAAATGTTATTAAAAGATGAGTTTGCATCAGAATAGTTCAAATATTCCAAAAATATTCCAGCATGATCACTGCATTGTTGACCAATCGTCCTCCTGAGATGCAGTAGCCATTATCACCTCCAGCTTGGCTCTGTGGACAGACTGGGGAACCCGAGCTAGATCCTGGTCATTGGGAAGTTATTCATATTGCAGCCCATGGTCTTTCATTTATTATCCAGAATACCTAAAAAGAACTCAAAGGCCCCAGTCTCTGAGCATCTTCAGTTTGGCCCATCCAAAATGTAGTGTCTACAGAATCTGAGTCTAGAATCCCCAGGGGTCTCCACTGTCTGCTGTTTCCAGAAGACTCACTGCAAAGCCCTCCCCAAGTCATCCATATCAGCTCACACTTCTGTGCTCCCACTTCCTGCCTGGGAGAACCCTTTCTGTTCAGCCAAAATAGCAACCCAGGGGTGGGGCACGGCAAGGACTCACCCACCTGTGTCCTGATCTTCTGGCTCTTCTAGAACCCTGTAAGGAATGCCTCGAGACTGATGATCCACCTCTGTAAGAAGTCTGACGTTTCAGTAACTTTATATTGTCTTGGATATCATCCTTGGCAGCCTGGTCTGGGCTGGGATGGTAAATAAAACTTCCCACGGGCTCCAGCCCTGCACTGTGGAGAGGCCAGGTCTTTGGGACAGGATTTTCCACCCTTACCTTCTCCTCCCTTCTCTTCCAGGATTTGCCAAGACATAACAGGTACTGAATCTAGAAGATACAAAAACACTTCAGCTGTATAGGAGGAACAAGCTGAGCAAAACTGAAAAATACACAGGATGTGGCATATTGGGCACTGACACCACAGCTAGCAACCACACACAGAAAAACGAATAGTTTTCTCCCTACCCTGTGTCGGTCTCTGATCTATCCCAAGTAGAGACTGAAGAAGAAACATAGCTTTCTGAAATTTATTTTTTATTTTGCTTAACACCCAAGGCTGCATTAGGGAACAATCATCTCCTACTTAGAGTCTGAGAAGAATCACATCCCTGCCTCAATCATCATATCCACGGAGAGCACAATTTGCTTTCACCAAATGCTAAACTTATATCAAAGCAAGTGCTACACATCAGGTATTTCTTCCAGAAAGATGATTGTTAAACTTTTATGTGACAAAACTCATAAATTTCCAAAGCCAACTTAAAGAAAATTAAACAGAACATTTTTTAAAAAATCTATAAAATCTACATCCTCCAGGAAAACCAGAGAACTGATAAAACCATATCTATTTTTGTGCTCCTTCCTCCCTCAACTAAAGTAACCAACGTCCATAATTTTATGTTTAAATTTCTCTTTCATTTTTGTAAATACAGTATTATCTAATACATATCTATTTTTATGTGAATGTATATATGTATGGTGTCATTTATAACTTTATTGCAAAATATAGTTTTCAGAAACAGACAGTATTGCTAACTCTAGCCCTTACCAGACACTGAATCTGCCGGCACTTTGATTTTTACTTCCCAGCCTTCAGGACTGTGAGATATAAATTTCTATTGTTTATAAGCTCTGTCTATGGTACTCTGTTATAGCAGCCCAAGCAGACTAAGAAAGATGAATTGGCCAAATTTAAGAAATTTCTCTCTCTCCCTCTCTCATCTTTATTTT